ACTTCAAGAATGAATATAAGATAGAAAAATAACCTTAAGGAACCTACTGACCAATACTGTGATGAGAAATGCTTTTTGTGAATAAAACTTTTAGACCTTGTGCTGGGCAGTGGTGGCTCACATATTTAATCCCAGCACTTGGGAGGCAGAGGCAGATGGATCTCTGTGAGTTCGAGGCCAGCCTGGTCTACAGGGTGGGTTCCAGGATAGCTAGGGCTATGCAGAGAAATCCTGTTTTGAAAAAACAAAACAACAAAAAGATTGTTAGGCCTCACCTCTTCCCAATTCCAGCTGCCTGCTCCTCAATAAACACAATCTGGGACAGAGGAATGGCCATGCAGCACTCCTACAAGGAAACCAACAGAAAAAAAAGAGCTCTATTACCCACGTCAGAAGATCAAGTCCAGATGCCGTTTCCCTGTGAGGAAAACATCAAGGCTGTATTCCTTAACTAAGCTGCTCACTTTCGCCAGGGTCAGGAAAGTACACACCTAGCAAGGACTCTACCACAGCTACACTTCCAATCTCCTTCATAAACTTAAGGAAAATTGAAATAAAATTCCGTGCTGCCATTGTGGTGCATGGGAGAACACAAGGAGAGTTTTAAGAGCGGGTGCAGAGCGGGCAAGATGGCTCAGTGGGTAAAAGCGCCGGCCCCAAAGCCTAAACCCGAGTTCAGTCCCCAGGACTCATAGAGTGGAAGTGAGAAGTCTGCAAACTATCTGTTGACCTCCACATGGGCACAGTGTTATATCCCACTCACATAAATAAAATGTGATTAAGCCAGGAGGTGATATATCTCTAATTTCCGTACTTGTGAATCTGAGGAAAAGGAGTTCAAGACCAGCCTGAGCCATACAGTGAGACCCTGTCTCAAAAAATAAAAGTAACATGGGGCTGCAGAGCTGGCTCAGCAGTTAAGAGTGTCTGCTGCTCTTGCAGAGGAGCAGAGTTCAGTCCCCAGCACCTATGTTGGGCAACTCACAACCACCTGTCACTCTAGTGCGGGGAATGCCCTCTTCTGCCCTCCTTAGGTACCTGCACCTACGCGTGGGCACACACATGTAAATCAATAAACCAATAATAAGGCCTTTTTAAGTAAAGTAAAACAATCATTATTACCAACTAAATTTTCAAGTGAAATTTATGAAAAAAATTTGAATATCTTCTTTTTGGTAAAATATGAATGGTAGGATCCATATCCAATGTAAAATAACTCATCATTTGCTTTGTTCAAGTTTCAGATTAAAATGAACTTACATGAAAAAACTTTGATGTAATATTTCTTTTTTTTTTTTTTTTTTTTTTTTGGTTTTTTTCGAGACAGGGTTTTTCTGTGGCTTTGGAGGCTGTCCTGGAACTCCCTTGGTAGTCCAGGCTGGTCTCGAACTCACAGAGGTAATATTTCTTATAAGAAACAAAAAAAAGTAAAACAATTCTAACTGGTATTTGAAAACATAAGAATGGAGATATGGCTCAGAGGTTAAGAGCACTGACTACTCTTCCAGAGGTCCTGAGTTCAGTTCCCAGCAACCACATGGTGGCTTACAACCATCCGTAATGAGATCTGGTGCCCTCTCCTGGCTTGCAGACATACATAGAGGCAGGATGTTGTATTCATAATAAATAAATAAAATTTTTAAAAAAGAGGTTTTCTAAAAAAAAAAAAGAAAAAGAAAAAGAAAAAAGAATTAAGTATTACAGCATGGGGGAGACAAAGGCAGGGAGATCTCTTTGAGTTTGAGGCCAGCCTGGTCTATATAATAGCAAGTTCAAGGTCAGACTAGGCTAAAGAGTAGCACCCTGTCTCAAAACAAGAGAAAGCAAACAAAATCTTAAACGGAGGGGGGGGGGGCGGGGAATAGCCGAGCATGTGATTCAGTGATAGAAGCACACACTGGGCATAGTCAAGGCCCTTGGTTCCAATTCACACTCCAGTTCACACAACTCATTAAACTCACATTGTTTTTCTGGTCTCTCCAAATCAGCCGGTGTGTACTAAGAAGAAGAGTCCCAGCATCAAATTTTATCTAAAATGGTAAGATCATTATTACAAGATGTCAATATCATGTCACATTATCCAGATTTCGTTACCCAGTAAGCACATAGTATGAAGTTAAATATTTTAGAATGAGGTTTATATATGTATATATATGTATACACACACACACACACATTGCCATTATAAAATTATGGCAAAATTTGAAGTAATCTACATGTAGTATCAGGGATAGTTAAATAAAATGTATCTATTGTACAGCACACATGCCAAAGTTAGAAGAACGATGAGGCAGTATTACATACGCTATCATGGAACTCTAAGGCAGAGCTGATGAGAAAAAAAAAGGAATCTGCAATGTATTGCATAGGATGAAATTCTGCAACAAAATGTGCTTTACAGGTGTGGGCATACGCGTCTCTAAAAAAGAACAAAAGGAAGGCCTAAATGAGAGCACAGTAAGCACGCATGATCTCCAGGAAGGGTGGAGGAGTGGGAGGGAAGAAAGCAAGGGATTCCTTTTTAAAGGATTCAGTGTGTGAGTGTGTGTCTGTGTGAGTGTGTGCACGTTGTCACATGACCGACAGTGTCGGCCGAGGCCTGAAGACGGAGTTGCCTCTCGGAGCTGGAATTAAGCAGCTGTGAGCTGTTCTTGTACTAGGAGCAAAAGCATGGTCTGGAAGACCTGTGTGTGCTCTCAACTGCTGAGGCATCTCTCCATTAGCCCCTCCCCCCACCTTGCACTTTATAGCATGGTTTGACAATAGATTGTATAAAATACTTATAAAAGAAAATCCAGAAGTAGATGTAAACATATATAAGAGACAGCAATAGAGACTCAATCCCTGTCACTGATAACACCTCGCCACAACAAATTCTAGAGGAAGCAAATACTTAAGAGGGAAAAAAAATTGCTGGAGAGATGGCTCAGACATTGGCTGCACTTCCCAGAGGTCCTGAGTTCAGTTCCCAGCAACCACATGGTGGCTCACAACCATCCATAATGAGATCTGATGCCCTCTTATAGCATGCAGACAGAACATTGAATACATAATAAATAAAAGTCTTTTTTCTTTTTTTTTTTTTTTTGGTTTTTCGTGACAGGGTTTCTCTGTGTAGCTTTGGAGCCTATCCTGGCACTCCTCTGTAGACCAGGCTGGCCTCGAACTCACAGAGATCCGCCTGCCTCTGCCTCCCAAGTGCTGGGATTAAAGGCATGCACCACCAATGCCTGGCAAAATCTTTTATGAAAAGGAAAAAATATGAAAAATTGTTTTAAAAAATAGTAAAAATAACATATCTAAAAAAAGTCTCAAGATTGGAGAAGCCTTTCTACAAAAAGCATTAAGCCCATTGGCACTGAGGGGAAAAAAAATCAATTATATTCAGATGTTCACCCATAAACTATTGATGGCAAAAGCTTTGAACAGCAAAGACAGAAGATAAGTGGCCGACTAGGGGAAATAAACACAACTAATATCCAAGAAAGGAACAGCCTGCAATCCACTAGAAAAATGAGCAAAGTTCACAGAAACTAATGATGAAGTGTATACCCATTAAACAATGCCCAGCCTCACTGAGTAAGCTAAATGCAAATACAAGTTATTATTTATCCATAAGATGGATGAGGCCATCCACTGATGTCTTTGTAAACCAATGGGGGGATTCAAACTTCCACCAAGAGGAAAATGGATCCCTGAATGGTGGACTACAGGCAATAACTAAAATGAATATGCAGACTGTCTACTTAGAGTATTCATTAAAGTGAGTATTGTGTATTAAGTATATCTGATAGGATTCCATTAACTATCAATCCTTCAGATTTCTTTTTCTGGAATGGGGGAGCAGGGTCTCACCATGTAGCCCTGGCTGTCCTGGAACTCTCTCTGTAAACCAGGCTGGCCTCAAACTCAGAGATCCACCTACCTCTGCCCTTCAAGTGCTGGGATCAAAGGCGTACACATCATGCCTGGCTATTATTCATTCAAATTTCAAAATCGTGAAAATGTGAAAGGTATGCTAAGAACCAATAAAATCTCTAGATTGATTTTTTTAAAGCAAAAAATAAATAAAATTGAAAAGAATATACACAATAAGTTCACATTAATATATACATATATACATGTGTGTATATACATGCATACATATAACACATGTGCAATATATATTATTGTGTGCGTGTGTGATTGTTGCTGAGAACTGAACCCCAGTATGATGGTATTTTGAGTTAGAGCCATTGGGAAGTGCTTATGCTTGCATTGCCTGCATAGAGTCATGCAATGGGGACCCAATGATGGATCAGTCATTGTCTGAACAACAGATGTGTGCTCTCTCTCTGCAGGCACGAACCTGGGAAAGGCTGAGGTGCACCAGTGAGATGCTGCTTATCTGCAAGACAAGATGAGGAACCTCAAAGTCCCAAATCTCCCTTAGATCTAGGACACTCTCACCACAGTACTGTGAGGAGGAAGTCTCTGCTTATGCCATCCAGCCTGGCTAACAGTGTTATAACAACCCAACTGAGTAAGATGCACTGTTGTTTAAAACTCTGGTATGTACTGGGATGGACCTCAATCGATGAATTGCTAATCTAGCATCCATGAAAAGCAGGGAGGGGAGGAGAGGGGAGAGGTGTTCCCAGCAGGTGGTTCCCAGCACCACAAAAACTGGTGTGGCTGCATGTGAGCCCCTCGCTCTGGAGATAGAAACTGAAGGATTGACGGAGGCTGTGGAAGACCCTGTTCTCTCCACTTCCCCTCAAAAACAAAAAACAAAAATACTATTGTATAATAGTATGAAAAAGATGGCGTCTGTTTCTGTATGACTGAAGTTTTTTTTTTTTTTTTTTTTTTGGTTTTTCGAGACAGGGTTTCTCTGTGGCTTTGGAGGCTGTCCCGGAACTTGCTCTGTAGACCAGGCTGGCCTCGAACTCACAGAGATCCGCCTGCCTCTGCCTCCCAAGTGCTAGGATTAAAGGCGTGCGCCACCAACGCCTGGCTATGACTGAAGTTTTAATTTCATAGATTATTATCCCTAAAAATTAGATAATAAACCGATTTAGAGTTAGGATCCAAGAGATTAACAAATCAAATCCTGTCAATGCTGTTAAATATAAATATGACATTTCTATTTCTCTAAAACTAGAGAGCAGAATTTTCCATAAAATAATACTTGCTTGAATCATTTTCAGTCATCTCTAACGTTACGAGGCTGGGCCTATTTTCAGGCTATCTCACTCCACACACTCATGAAGAAAGATTTTAGTAAGATTTCAGGTTATTACAAATAATGCCAGAATTCTTGTGAGTTTAGAATCATGTGGTTAAGAATGTTTGTTTTAATGCCTGTTATGAGCCCGATAACATCATAGTATGGATGGGGGTGGGGTTCACGAAGCTGGACCATCTCCCAGCTGAAGAGAGGCTCCTGGAAGTGGGCGGGTCAGTTTTCTTCAGGGATGGGACCCAAGAGCTTACCTATGCTCCAGTAGATGGCCCCACAATCACACAGAGCACTTAAGCGGACTCCATGGATTTAAAAAGCAGAGCACATGAAGTTAGGAGGGGAAAGCGATAGTGGGGATAGGGAAGGGAGTGGGGGTGTGAGTTTCATCAAAATACATTGTATGCATGTAAAAAATTCTTATTAAACAAGTAACCAATAGGAGCATTATTAAATACCAATCGAGAAAACCTCAACATTTACTTAGTGCGCGGATCTGTGTGACTATGGGTGTTAGGACACACATCCCAAGATCAGGACATCTCTGAAGAGCTGCAGAGAGCTGGTCACTCAGATCCCTGCTGGCAGGCGCCTTACCCACTGAGCCACTTGGCCAGCCTTGTATCACGCTTAAATAGAAGTTAAAATTATGTATTCTGTTAACAACACTGTAAGGTACCCGTGATATTATATTACATTAAAAAGTAAAATGTTCACATACCACCCTTATAGCAAACCTATGCAATATGCCACAAGTAATTACTTCTGGGCAGTGGTGTGCTTGTTATTTCAAGTTTCTTTCTTCTCTCTCTCTCTCTCTCTCTCTCTCTCTCTCTCTCTCTCTCTCTCTCTCTCTCGTGTGTGTGTGTGTGTGTGTGTACATGTACCTAACCAATATTATTAGTTTGAAAAAACAATCAAAGAGACCTGCCATTGGCATAGTTAACTTCATGTTAACTCTGGTCTAATGTTAAATCAATCATACACAGGAACATGCCTTTGTAGTTTTTTTCAAGACAGGGTTTCTCTGTGTAGCCCTGGCTGTCTTAGAACTCAATCTTTAGACGAGACCGGCCCTAAACTCAGAGATCCACCTGCTTCTGCCTCCTGTGCTGGAATTAAAGTCTTGCACTGCCACTCCCTGCCCCCCAACATGCCTTTTAAAAGTCCACAGATAACAGATAACTAACACTTTTTGACACACTTTTTGTTTTGTTTTGTTTTTGGTTTTTTGAGACAGGGTTTGTCTGTGTCAGTCCTGGATGTCCTGGAACTAGCTCGAACTCACTGAAATCCACCTGTCTCTGCCTCCCAAATGCTGGGATTACAGGCACCACCACCGACAGACAGTGACACATTTTAAAACATTTTTTTTCCCTCAGAATAAGACCCACCAGTATTGCCAGCAAGATGTTAGTAATGAATAATGGCGTCACTGCTAAAGATGTGCCGAACCATCAGTTTCAATGCACTCTGGGTATCTGTCATAATTAAGTTTCTGTTGCCATGATAAACACACTGACCAAAGGTAACTTAGGGAGGACAGGGTTTTATTTCAATTTACAGTTTATAATCCGTCATAAAAGGAAGTCAGGGCAGGAACTGAAGCGAGACCAGGGAGGAATGCCGCCTCCTAGGGGGTCTCCAACTTGTTTTATACAACCCCGGACCAGGGGCAGCACTGCCTATAACCGGCCGCGCCCTCCCACATTACTCATTATTAATCCAGAAAATGCCTCTCGGACCTGACCACAGAAAAATCCGAGAGAGGCCTCTTCTCAACTGAAGCTCCCTCTTCCCACATGGCCCTGGCTTGTGTTGTGTTGATAAAAACAAACAAACAAACAAACAAACAAAAAAAACAAAAGCAAAAACAACAAAAAACCTAAACAGTACAGTAGTCTACCAGAATACTTGGACTTAATCAGAGAAGACTTACAAGTTCTGTGCTTTCCTCTGAGTCAGAAGTACAAGACTGGGCAGTGGTGACCAACGCCTTTATCCCCAGCACTGGGAGGCAGAGGCATCACTGTGAGTTTGAGGCCAGCCTGATCTATATAGCCAGTTCCATGACAGCCGGGACTACATACAGAGAACCTGTCTCAAAGGGGGGGGGGGGACTGGAGGGATGGCTAAGCAGTTAAGAGCACTTGCTTTCTCTTCTAGAGGACCCAGCACCTACAGGGTAAGTCGCAACAACTCCAGGGAAGCACCTCTGGCCTAGGCTGACACCTGCCCTGAAGTGCACACACACCTATACACAATTAAATAGAAAGGAGAGCTCAAGTACTTCCAGCATGCAACTCAGCCTAACTTTAAGTGTCTTGGCTAGTCTGATTTACACAAAACCAAGTAGCTGAGTTTATAATATTTTAAGAATCTCTTTGTTGATAGTAAAAACTCACGTTTTCAAAACAAATGTTTTGTTAACTGAGTAGTGCACCATGTTCCCTTAGAGCAGACCAGTTCTTGTTTTATCTTGCTGAAATTAAAGTTTAGGATATACATTTCAAACTCATGCCAGAGTTATGTCCCACGTCCATGAACAGGAGGATAGGTGAAAGGCTGCTGCTCCAGGGACGAAACTTTGCTATAGTTCCTTCAGCTCTTCCTTCCCTTCAGCTCTCCCGTGGATTATCCTCTCAACCTGACAGGCGAGCTAAACTGGTTTGCATTTCCTACTCAAAACCAGAATAATCTGAGCTCCTTGAAAAGCAAATCAAACTTTACTCAAGCCGTTTCGGAAAAGATCCCGACTCAGAAAGCACAGTACAGTCCGCAGAAACATACCCTAGGAAACCCAGGGGACCCAGGCCAAACATCGCATGCGCCTCCAACATCTGTAAGCACTGACCAGGAAAAGGTGTATACAAAGTATAGAGGAAGGCTTCATTTCCACAACAGCGAGGAAGAGGGGGATGCAGCAAGTGAAAATGGAAAGTAAACGTGCTTGTGGGAACGCCAGCTCTTCTGCCCCGTTTTCAGGTCGTACATTTCAATCAAATAGGACGGCTCGTAGTTTCCAGTGGGTACAAAATAAACTTGCATTCGGTATTTCTCTTATCATTTGCGATCTCTTAAGATTTACGCTTGCATTATAAGGCAGGGCTTACAGCTTTACTCCACAAACACCAAACGCAGCGCCAAACCGCCTCCTAAAGTGGGTTCCTGCAAGTGCTTCCTACGGAGCAGACAGGAAAAAAACCCAGGGGGCTGGACCCCGCTGCCTCCTTCAGAAATCCTTTCGGACGACGGACGGACCTCCGCTTAGCCCAGAACAAATCCATCACCCATGCCGCAGGAGGGCGTTCCGGGGACGCGCTCCGGACACGACGGAACTGGGCTGTCCCGGGCTCAGACCCCTCCACCCCCACCCCGGTCCCCCGCGCCCCGGCTCGCCGTCCACCGTGCGCCGCGGGCCCTGAGGCCGAAGGCCGGGAGCCCAGGGCGGAAGACGAGGCCATGCCGGGCCCATCACGAGGGCCCGCGGGGCGGGACAGCCTCCGCCCTACCTTCTCCTCGCCGTCGTAGACGCGCACCCCGCGCTGCTGGATCACCAGCGTCTCGTTGATCTCCAGGAGGCCGCTGGTCCACACGAAGCGGTCCATGGCCGCCGCTGGGCAGGCCTCTGCCGCTCGCCCGTACTCCGGGGCTGCGAGCGGCGCCCCCTGGTGGCCGGCGGGGGTGGGGCGGCCGGGAGCGAGCGGTCCTCCTCCCCCACCCCCGGCGTGAGGGACCGCCCCCTGGCGGCGGCCACTTGTGCGCGCGTTTGTTTTTCTGTCACTGCCAAGCCCGTTGATAGTACATGACGACTTATTTTTTGTTGTTTTTCAAATAGTGTTGACAGCAGGAATTGTTTTTAATACATCTGTAATCAGCGTATTAGGTGATGCCCTCTGCTCCTCTCTCCGGTTTTTGTTTTAGACTAATTTTCATAACGTTGTATTTATTTTATGAGTGTTTGTGTGGGTGGGGCACATGCAAGGGCTCCACTGTAGGAGGCACAAGACACTTCATGACACCGTGTCCTCTCCTTCCACCTTGCGGATCTTGGGGATCAAGGCTTGGCAGCAGGCACCTTTACCAGCTGAACCACCCCACGGCGCCTTTAAAAATAACGTGCACTGGATCTAGATTGAGGGAGGTGACATGGAAATAAAGCAAAAGCCGAACCCAAGCATATTGTCATTTAATAAGGACAATGGAGGACATCAGTCCCTCCTAGAGACTAGAGACTGTACACATAGTGCAGGGGGCTTGGGCGTTTTATAGGGCTGGAAAAGGGGACTTCGGGAATGGAAGAGTCTATATGCAGGTCAGTTCCCCTGCCGTCTCAAAGTGATGGACACCAATTCAGGTTGGCATGCTAATCTTATCTGAGGCGTCATCCTCCATCCTGACAGCCCACAGGTGTCACCATTCAAGGCAACTTTCCTGCCTGGAGTTTCCGTCCACCTGAAGCTTTTAGGTCACTAACTTGCAATGTGTATGTATGGGTGTTTTGCCGACGTGAAGGTCTGTGCATGGATCCATGCCTGTTGCCCAGCTAGAGCAAAAGGCTTGCATTGATTATTATTCTGTCCAGTGTTACATAGCTTGTTCTTCAAACCAGGCATGGTAGTACACACCTGTAATCCTAACACCTGGGGAAACAGAGACAGGAGGAGCGTTCCAAGTCAGCCTGGGCTACATGGCAAGACCCTAAAAACAAACAACAACAAAATACCACACATGAAAAAGTATCTTGGGGATCAAAGGAAGGAAGGAGGGAAGGAAGGGGAAGAAGGAAAGAAGGAAGGGGAAGGAAGAAACGCAGGGAGGGGGAAGGGAAGGGGAGATGTGGTTTTTGGGTTTAGTTTCACTTAAGTGTTTGGGGCTGGAGAGATTGCTCAGTGGTTAAGAGCACTTCCAAAGAACCCAGGTTCAATTCCCAGCACCCACATGGCACCTCCTCACAACTTCCTGTAACTACAATTCCAGAGGATTCAAAGCCCTTTTCTGACTTTTAAGGACTCCAAACATACATTTGATGCAACAGATATACATGCAATTAAGGTATCCATGCAAGTAAAAAATATTTTTTAAAAAAGAAATATTTGCCCAACAGCATTTTTCCTGTATTTTCTGTTTTGTAGTTTTCTTCCTTTTATAAGGTATATGTTTTATCTTGAGGTTGTCAGTGTTTGTTTTGTTTCAAATTTGAGTCAAAGTTAGCATTTTGCATGTTGGAATACAGATACCACGACTGTTGTTTTTGGAAACAGTGAACATCTATTGGCCAGATAGCTTGGTTATATTTCTGAAATCTGTTGCATTCCACTGTTTGTCTTCATGTTACACTGTCTCAGTCATCATGGTTTTATAAGTTTTGAAAACAGATAACGTTCCTGCTCCAGCTTGGTACTATTTCACAGTTGTCTTGCCTATTCTAGATCCTTTGTATTTCTTACTAATCTTTAAATAACAATATAGGGTCCTCCAGTCCAAGAGGAGACTCTAGCTGCTTATTTAGTTTCTGTAGTTTCTCTGTGCTCTACTCTTACACTGGACATTTTTGCCAGAGCCTCCTCCTTTCTGAATTCAGTGAGATTCCTATCAATACCAATCTTGCCAGGTCTCTGCCTGGTCATCTCCATGGTTCAGTCTCTCACTTTAGTCTTTTTTACCCAACTGTCATCATTCTGTCCTTAGGACTGACACACCCTGTCCTTCCACAAGCACTAACTTGTTTCGTGAGCCCGCAGGGGAAGCAACAGCAATCCTATGTCCACATTTATAGTCAGCTGTGTTGACGGTGACCTGTTTTGAAAGACGCCTTCTCTGACGTCTTAGAAAAGAACCTCACCTCCCACCCGGCACTGTGGAATGGCTGTGTGTGTTTAAAAATAAGCTGCTCTTTGTGTGGGGTTGCCGCTTCGTGGGCTTTCCCCCATCCATGTTGGCATGTCCAAAAAAGATCGAGGAGGAGTCTACTGTAGGATTTGGAGGGAGAAAAGGCAAGGGGAATGGTGTGATTTTGTTACAATCACAAAAAAAATGGTCTTGGGGTGGGCACATTTGGAAGTTAGGCAGAAATTGACACGTTGAAAATATAGTAGTCTCTTGGTGGTGCATGCCTTTAATCACAGCACTTGGGAGGCAGAGACAGATGGATCTCTCTCTGTTCGAGGCCAGCCTGGTCTACAGAGAGAGAGTTCCAGTACAGCCTCCAAAGCCACAGAGAAACCCTGACTCGGGGAAAAAAAAAGAGAAAAAAGAAAAAGACAAATATAGTAGTCTCAAAGGCTTTCTTACTATCTCAGCATATTGAAGTCTTCATAATTTCTCTTTTGTTCCAGGCTTAACTACAGACACACACACACACAACTAACAACTATTAAGGTGAATATCGAAGACATAAAATTAACTGGGTTGGTAAGCATCAAAACTCAGGTCGTCATGCCTGGAAGGTAAGCTATCTCCCCAGCCATCCAAAATAACAATGTACTTGTATTCATCAAGGTTCGCTAATAGAACATAACTGATAGGATGACTTATTAGTCTGGCTTACAGTCTTTGGCCCTAGTAGTCCAGCAATGACTGTCTCCCAATGGAAAATCCAAGAATCCAGCAATTGTTCAGTCCACGAGACTGAATCTCAGCAGTATCAATCAGGTGCTGCAGTTCTGGAGGATTCTTAGAGAGCTGCTGGTCTTCAGTCTACACTGGAACGCTGAAGAAGTTCTTATACCAGGGGACGGACACCCTCTGTAGCAGGACAGATGAAAGTTCTTATACCAGGGGGCGGACACCCTCTGTAGCAGGACAGATGAAAGTTCTTATACCAGGGGACGGATACCCTCTGTAGCAGGACAGATGAAAGTTCTTATACCAGGGGACGGACACCCTCTGTAGCAGGACAGATGAAAGTTCTTATACCAGGGGACAGACACCCTCTGTAGCAGGACAGATGAACATGCCAGTGCGAGTGAGAGCAAGCAGGCAAAAAGCAAAAGCTTCCTTCGTGTCCTTGTTGTTCCACCAAGTGTGCCCAGATTCAGGATAGGTCCTCTCACCTCAGATGACCCAGTCAAGAAAAGTCCCTCACAGACATGCCCAAAACATGCCCAAATGCTTAGCTTTTAGTTGATTCCAGATCCAGTCAAGTTGACAACCAAGACCTGCCAGCACACCACTGGAACTTCCGCAATCAGTCGTATTGTAGTGAGTGTCTAAAACAGCAGTGGTGTCTTTAAAAATAAGAGCTGTTGGGAAAGCTACACTAAAATAGGATATTGAGAGAGAGAGAGAGAGAGAGAGAGAGAGAGAGAGAGAGAGACTACAGAAGCACCAGGGATATAGCTCAATGGCAGTGCACTTGGAACAAGTCACTTGAGTAGCTAAAGATAGTGCAAGATAAATTGTAGCTGGACCCTGGACCGGCAACATTCCAACCTCTCCACAATCACTGAGGTTCTAATCAATTAATCAGCCTTGCAAAAAGTTCCAGTTTGAAGACGCAGCATCTTTCCGGGAATATATTTCATACATGTCATCTCCTTGAGGGCTGGGGTTACAGATGTGAACCACCACTGCCCCACTGTCTGGGTTTTATATAGGTGACATGTTTAAATGATGGGAGTGAACGATTATAGTAGCATACCTAAACACACACAGATCCAACAAGCGTTAGTTTATCTTCACAGGAGAGTTATATACTGCCTCAGAGGAAAAGTTATATTCTTTTTTTCTTCTCCTACCCTTTTGCAGTTCACAAATGCAGGGAAAGGGTTAGTTAGCTACACACTTGTCGCCTTAGCACTCAGAAGGCCAAGGAAGATTGCCAGTTTTAGGTCAGCCTGTGGTAGGTACACTGAGAGAGTTTCAATAAAATCACAGCACAAAGGTAGATCTTAAGATTTTGTTCGCAAGCTGTGCAAACACGGACGCCTAACACTTGGGCTCATCTCGTTTGCGACATGTAATGGCAACCCACTCACTTCAGCTAGGCAGTTCCAAAGAGCAGTTGTGAATCAGTACTCCTCAGGGACGTTCCAAGCTGTGCCCTGGGTGAGCTCGCCAGCAGCCATCTGCTGTCCTCTGCCTTTACTCGGGCTGTGTCTGGAGATTTGTGCGGACTTGTCAACCCTAGTGCTGCTACAGCCTGAGGATACAACGAGCCCGCTCCGCCCCAGTCCATCCAGCTGGAAGAGCGTTGTTTGATTTTCGAAAACCTCACGCCACCGGCAGCCAACTCCACAGACTCCGGGACGGCCCCGCCCCTCGTCCAGCCCCGCCCCTCCGCGCTCATTGGTCGGTTCAATTCACGCTGGGCCCGAGGCGCGCACATTACGAGATGGCAGAGTCCAGGAAACGCTGCGCAGGCCGGGCTGGGAGCAACACCTTGCGGGTGCCCCGGGACCTGCAGCTGCCGCCGACCAAGAGAGACCAGCCGGCCTTCCGAGGTGAGCAGCGGCGCGGGGCCTGGGCCGCTAACCCGCCTCACGTCCTCCTGGGAGCCTAGGCCTCTGGCCGTGGGGAGCCTGGGCCCCGCGCCTCGGTGGAAGCTGGCGCGGGCAGCGGTTTAGCTCGGTGGTCGGGGCTGGGGGCTGAGGGGGCGGGGCCGCCAGGACCCCGACTGCGCCTGCGCGCTAGCTCGCCGGAGGTGAGGTTGGGGGGGTTGCGTCAAAATTTGGAGACTAGTAGTATCTCGTCTCTGCGGTTGCTTCTAGTAGACGGGCTTTCTGGAACCGAATATCGAAATGGTGTTCCCTAGGAAACGTGATTATCTTTCTGTCTGCCCGTCTGTCGGCAGTGGCGGTTCGTCAGTCTGCCTTTTCTGGTGCTGCTGAGGATGGACCCCCGTTGGTCTGTCGTAGAGTCTCAGTTCAGGCACTGGACTCCAGAGAATGTTCTTACTCAGCAGTTGTGAGCATCACTCCGCCTAGGTTTGTAGTCGCAAGTCTGTAGGGCATCAGATAGATGGATAGGTAGATGGATAGATTTTTTGGTGTTTTGCATGCGGACAGGAGTTACAGACAGTGTGGGTTGCCACTTGAGTGCTGGGAATTGAACTGAACTCGGGTCCTGTGAAAGAGCAGTCAGTGTTCTTTAACCGCTGTGCCATCTTTCCAGCCCCTACCCCCTCTTTTTAAAACCTATCAACCCCTCTCTCTCTCTCTCCCTCCCCCTCTCTTTCTTTCTCCTCTCTCCTCTCTCACTCTCTCCTCCCCCTCCTTCCCTATCCATTCCTCCCCTCTCTCCCCTTCCCTCCCTCCCCTCCCCTCTCTCCTCTCTCTCCTGTCCTGGAACTCACTATGTAGATCCAGGCTGGCCCACAGAAATCTGCCTACCTCCCAAAACCCGGGATTAAAGGCAGTGGGCCACTACCGCCCCAGGGCATCTTCTTAATTGATTCTTAACTGATTTGTGGAGGAGCTTCCTGCCCATTGTGGGCGGGTCCACCTCTGGGCCGCTGGTCTTGGTAGAGCAAGCCAGTAAGCGACCTTGCTCATGGCCTCCTGATTCCTGCCCTAACTGTCTTTGATAGTGGACATGTGAATAAAGCGAACCTTTTCCTCCCCAAGTTGCTCTTGGCCGAGTTGTTTCTTCACAGCCGTAGTAACTCTAAGACAGCATTTTTCTGTTTAATGGGGTCATTTCTCTAAGTTGGGACATTCCCTATTTCCGTGATTTAGAAATAATATCTTTTCCCAGGGAGCAGTCACTCCACACACTTAGTGATCAGTTAAGGTGCATTTGTCCTGCTGATGCCCAAGGAAGAGCCAGCCTTGAATAGAAGATTTCAATATGCACATTAGGCCTGTGTATTTTCCTTATGCTGTCATCCTTAAGTCTCTTTTGGGTCCCACCAGGTTACACTTTGAACAGTTTAAACAGACAGGAGACTACAAATCTGGACACTTGGGTAGATGGGAGATTGGCACAGCAAAGATAATTGCCAGATGGTTTAAGTATACTAGTGTTACTCTTTCCTGAATAAACTGTTAGCCAGGGTCCTCATTCCCCTACGAGGACCAACTATTATTTGGATGCACAACTAGGCATAACTCATTAAAGAAATCAGGGTTTTTTTTGTTTGTTTTCTTTTTTTTTAACAAACCTGTTGTTATCAGATACAACAGAGCTAGTAAAATTCTTTGTGTCAGAGTCTGGTCCATGGGAGCCATGGTGGCTAGCCCTGGAGGATGCATTATGGCCAATATTACCATGAGTCCAAAGGGAGGCATGTGATCCTTTTCTATGAGAGGCTGGTCTGGGTGGTCTCCTTCTCAGGTAGGATGGCACCTGCAACTCAGTGTTTAAAAGAGTGCCCACAGTTGAGCCTGCTGTGCTGACTGGCCCTATGACAGAGGCTCTGTCTTAGATTATCCAAAACTCGGGTAGGGGGGTGGGACAGGACATGGACAGGACACACACGACACAACTCCTTGCACAGTCTGTTGTGGATCTGTGGGACCAGCTTGCTAAGTGAAGGAAATTGAAAGCCAGGCTAAAGGTCGTGGCCAATTGAACTGGCATGCAGGTCTCACACTAGTTGGGTGAGAGGCTTAGGTAAAAGGACTCGCATTGGCAGCAGTTCAGGAGACAGTGAGTGAAGAGTCATTCCCATTTGCTTCTGTTGCTTGAGACACTTAGGATGCAGATGCTAGATCCTCCATTGGGTGAGAGAATCTATCTGCTGTCCAGGGAGACATGAGGGTGATTCATCTCCCCTCTAGACAGGGAGGAGGTTTTCTGGTCTCTCTTCACAGTGGGAGGCTGGGGTAGCAGATCTGGCAAGTCTTACTCCCCTTGCATCCTTACTCTGTAATGAGGCCAGCATGCATTTACTCTGGTATCTGGCCCATCCAGGGAAAGGATATGACTGAGCCTGCCATGCAAGTGTATTGTAAATTTGACCCATTTTACTTGAGCATTTAATTAATTCTTCATAATTAGTTATTTTAATGTACCGGACTTTGAATAGTATTCCTAGTAAACAAACTTTGTTTGCTTTTAAACTTGTTTTGAGTTGCTTCTGGATTGCCTTTGACAGCATACACTGAAGACTGTACTGGGAGATATAACTTGGTGTCTCCCTCTCATCCTGTCTCTGTGAATGAATCACATTTGTACTTAGCCTGACAACAAACACAATTCTGAGCACATAAAGGACATTTGATCATTTTATTTTATTTCATTTTATTTTGAGACAGGGTGTCTCTCTATAGTCCTGGCTGTCCTGGAATTCACTATGCAGACCATGCTGGCCTGGAACCCACAGAGCTCCCCCTGTCTCTGCCTCCCCAGTGCTGGAACTAAAAGGTGTGCATGACCTACCTAGCCACTAATCACTTAAAAGTGACTGATCACTAATTTTTATGCTCAAAACTACCTTTGCTTTAACAGTTTACAATAAATTAGCAACTCTCAATAACATTAGTATTTTATAAACTAAGGTAACTTAATCCCTGCTAAAATTTCTGAGCCTTAAAAATGACAATTTTTTTTTAACTGAAGCTCTTTAAGCACCAAAATACTTTATACACTAAATACAGTCCACAGAAAAACTGGGAACCTCTTTATCCTGAATAGTGTGGTTTTTAAAAAATCTAAGTCAATTTAACAGATCTTTTATATTCATCTTATCACAAGAGTACAATTATAGTCTAAGTCAATTTAATGGAGCCTATATATTCAGTAGCTCATTTTATCACAAGAGCATAATTATAGCAGAGAAAGATTGGTTGTCATCAAGAGACAAGAATAAAAGGTGTACCATTAATTTTTACCACAACTCTGTATGATTCGATTTCTCCAGATAGTTAAAGCTTAACACAGTTAGCAAAGACACACATCTTTAAGTCAGCTTTTGTTATTATATGCATAGGAACCTTAGATCATTTTAACCATTAAGTTCATAAGTCCTATTTGACATGTTCAGACCTCTGTGTCTTGGCTTCAAGATTTTATGGTTTTGTCCCTGTCTTTATGTAATTTATCCTGTCTAAAAGAATTTGGGCTGGAGAGATGGCTCAGAGGTTAAAAGCACTGACTTGCCCTTCCAAAGGTCCCTGAGTTCAATTCCCAGCAACCATATGGTGTCTCACAACCATCTGTAATGAGATCTGGTTTCCTCTTCTGGCCTGCAGAGATACGTGCAGGCAGAACACTATACACGTAATAAATAAATAAATCTTTTAGAAAAGGAGAATTTAACCCTTATTAGAGATATAACTTTTTTTATACGATCCCATTGATCCTAAGAAAGTTGAGTCTCACCAAGAACTTCAGAGATAACAATAACTTTGAATGATTGAACCCTCTGTGTATGCAAGGATAATGAAGTTGGGGGTAGAGTCCTCAGTGAACTCGACATCTGTAATTGTAGTTTTAACAAACCATTTTAAGTCCTGGAAACATCCAGCTATCTTAAGCTTTACATGTAAATCACCTTGACTGGACAATTTAAAAAATGTAAAATGTAAATACCAAGCTGGAGCTGGTGGCACACTCCTTTAATTCCAGTACTTGGGAGGCAGCGGCAGGCTGATCTCTGAGTTCAAGGCCAGCCTGGTCTACAGAGAGTTCCAGGACAGCTGGGGCTACACAAAGAAACCCTGTCCCCAAAACAAACAAGCAAAAAACTTAAATACCATGAGACATAACCATATGTCATTTGCTGTAAGAAGTTTTTCCTAAAAGGGGTGTTGTGCCTCTCCTCCCTTAGTTTTTCCAGTCTTTATATTGTAGCTCCAGAAACCTCGAGGCCTCATAAAATTAGAGCCTGATTGCATACAGCTAGCTGGGAGGAGTGACTCACTCAGGTTAGGGTACAATGGCTTTGACTCTCCTCCTTGAGGGATTGTGACTTCTGACAAGCCCAGTTATAATTATTTTAAGCAGGCATAGCTGGAGTTCTGAACATATGCAACATATAAAGGAAAGTTAAATCCAAATCACACATAAGGTAATGTAATAAATTAACACCACCTGTTAAACCATCAGGCCCTGTGAGTTTCCAGGTAAACTGAATGGGGGAAAAAGTAAAAAGAAATGAAAGGACATGACTGTTCCTAGGTGTGGTGGTGGAGAAAGTTTATTGTAGATATGTGGGAGAGCATAGTCAGAGGCAGGGACATGGAAGAGTGCAGAATGGATAAGAACAGGCTGAGCTGGGCCTTGTTGGGGAGGGGGGGAAGGGAGAGAAGGCAGCCAGGTGCAGCAGCTAGTAGGCCAAAGGTACTAGAGAGAAAGAGTAACCAAAATGTCTGGACTATGTAGGTAAGAGCCTCTAGGGGAACGGCAGCCCAGCCCCTGGGCTGGAGAGTTCAGGATAGAGGGTGAAGTATGCCAGCCATACCCTGTAACTGGTAGGGACTGAGGGATGCTGGGAGAACCTGACCTATTAGCATGTGGAGTTTTAAATTCACGTTTACATCATCTAACAAAACTTAACTGAGGGAGCCCTGTTAAATCTATGTTGCTGAAGTTACTGCTGAGAGATTTTAGACAGTGGGTCTCTTTTATCCTTCCCATTGGCTGTTTTTATTATAGGCATCTTTATACCATGAGATAGCAATAGAGCCTCTATTGGAAATAGTTTACCTCTTAGCTGTTCTTGAGCAGGTAAAGGAGTCCCAAGAACAGAGAGACTCGGTGGAAAAAGCAAGCAAGCATTTGGACTCAGCATAGCTTGTCTCCAGGCTCCCTCTAGAAACGCTCAGCTAAGTGGCTCTCTTTCAAGGAAAAACTAGCTGTGCACCTTGTGGCCACTCTGGAGGTAGGACACCTGGTCTCCCTGGGTGCAAGAAGGGGAGGGGACCTTCTGCTGCAACTATAGCTCCTGCTCAAGAGGCTCCAGCAGCCACTTTAGCCCAGGCAGGGCTAGGTGGAGGAGACTGGATGGCCCACTCGTGATCTATTAGAGAAGCCCTTTCCGTATAGAGATACCAGAGCCATTTTCTTGTTCTGAACAGGATTCAGAACTCCTTCATACTTAAGGAAGGAGCCCCAAGTCTTAATTGGACCTTTTATGGGGAGAGAGAGATCTATGGGCCAGTAGCTCCAATCTGGGGGTACAGATGGTGTTGGCTTCAGGGGTGAAAATGAGTTTGTAGTCTAGTTTAATCTGTCTTAGTCTAGCCAAACAGGCGGCTAATTTTCTCTAAGTTCTTCCTACCTTGTCCCCATATGGTAGGAGGGTCTCTGCAACATACCAGAGAGTTCCTTCTGGCAAACAAACAAGACAAAAAGCACCTTCAGAACTCATTCCAAGGCTATAACATTCCCTCCATTGTCCCCCCCCCACCCTTTCTCTTTCTGTCTCTCTCTGTTGTTTTTCAAGATAGGGTTTCTCTGTGTAACTTTGGAGCCTGTGCTGGAACTCCCTCTGAAGACCAGGCTGGCCTCACAGAGATCCGCCTGCCTCTGTCACTGAGTGATTGCACCACCCAGCTCCCTCCATTGTTTTCTTAATGGAAAACATGATTGTTGGCTTTGCCAGAAAGCTTCCTTAAGGCTTGATCTGAGCCCTCCTCACCCCACAGGGGAGGGCCTGGTTGAGATGAGATGGGGGCAGTCTTGGCATCTTTGCTTATCCTGCAGGTTTCCTGCTGAGTTTTCCTAACCTCTGACTGAGGCTGGACCGATGATCAGCTGCCTGGAGTGCCCTTCAGAGGAGGTGCTAGAAAAATGTCCGGGAGCGCTCCTCCTCATCCAGCACTCCTCCAGCCATCTGAGCAGCCTTTCCAGCAGCACAAGCGGCTGGTGCAGGAGGACATCTCACTGAGGACCTCCATATTTGTTACAGAAATAACATTCCTTCCCTGTGAGGAATCACTCCGCACACTTAGAGACTAGCGAAAGAAACTCTTTAAAAGAGCTGGCCTTGAAGAGCACATTTCAATAGCTTCTATTAGTGGTTGTCAACCTTCCTAATGCTGTAACCCTGTAATACATTTAATACATTGCCACTTCATAACTGTTATTTTACTGCTATTATTAATCATAATCTGTGTTTTCCAATGGTCTGTGAAAGCATCGTTAGATGCTCCAAAGGGGTTGTGACCCACTGGTTGAGAATCATTGGCATACATACACTTTAGGCTTGTGCGTGTAAATACTCTTTAGGCTTGTGCGTTTTTACATATGTTGCCATTGTTAAGTCTGCTTCAGATCGTGACTCCAGGTTACACTTTCAACAGTTTAAACAGAGACGGACCACTTTGTGTCTGGCCACTTGGGCAGATGGGAGATTGACACAGCAAAGATAATTGCCAGAATTCTTTCTTTTTTCTTTTTTTTTGGGGGGGGTTCCGAGACAGGGTTTCTCTGTATTGTTTTGGAGGTTGTCCTGGAACTCGATCTGTAGACCAGGCTGGCCTGGAACTCACAGAGATCAACCTGCCTCTGCCTCCCGAGTGCTGGAATTAAAGCCATACACCACCAACACGCCAGAATTATTTTTTAAGTACATCAGTGTTATTCTTTTGAAATAGCTTATTACCTAGGACCATCTTGCAGATTATGTCTTTTACGCCAGAATTATTTCTTAAGTACATCAGTGTTGTTCTTTACAAATAGCCATTACCTAGGGCCATCTTACAGACTATGTTTTTACTGATAAGAACACAGGGCACTTTTATGGCAGACCAGGACTTGAGGGTTGTGACCCTCTTCTGCCTACCTTGAGCAGCCTGTTAGAGGAATGTCCTTTGTTATGTGACTAGAGCCAAAAGGCTGGTCCATTCTAGTGAATAAACATTTATATCTTAGCATCTTAACCCTTACCTCTAACCTGCTTGGTTAGCCTCACTTACCTGTGGGTTGTTTGTGGGGGCAGTGCTGGCTTAGATAAATTCTACTTTGTGTGATTTAATGTCTCCTAGGCAAACCCACTAGCAAATCCTTTATAACATCAATTCTCTTAATTTGAATTATTTTTACATCACTATAGACAATACTGTCTCAGTTTTCCAAGTAAAAGAAACTTTTACTCAACCATATTTGATGTTTTAACTAAAGTTGACTTTGTTACTCCTTCATCTTTAGAACAAAGAAAACAAAAACTCAAGGAATATCTGTTAATACGAAAAACAATGTTTCCATACAAACAAGAAAATCAGATATCCAGGTGAGGTCAAGTTTAATTCATTTCTGGAGAATTACGTTAGAGTTGTCTACTAAGAACCTAACATGTGCCACATTTTAACTTTTACTTTCCTACTAATCATATTTAACTTTTAAAAAGAAATGAATTTTAATAGCACTTAATACAGTTATGATTCTAGATATTGTTACTTCAACATGTGATATTTAAAATCATTAAGAGGACTGGAAATGTATTTCAGTAGTAGAATGCTTGCCACCAAAAGCACCACAAATTAAGAAGGCACTATGACGTTTAACCTTCTCTTTTGGCATCAAGTCTTCAAGAAATCTGTTGTATGTTAGCACTTTCAGCACATCTCAGTTTGTACCTGTGACTGCTTTATGTGGATGATGCGATAGATCACCATTTTCTATATGTGTTCAAACCCTTACAGGGAAGCAATTAAACATTTTTTAAAGTATTCTGTGCATGTATTCACTTGCTCACCCACTTGTGCACATACGCAGGCCAGGATAACCTTCAGGCATGTGTGCTCTGTGAATCAAACTGAGGTAGTCAGACTTGGTGACAAGCAGCTGCTTCTGCTGAGCCATCTCCCTGATCCAGGAGAAAGCAAAGCGTATATGTGTACAGAGATACTGAGTTGGGAGCTATGCTGTACAGTAGAGGTCAATGTTTAGTTTTGAGAGTCTGCATTCTAAATACCCTGACTTCAAATTTGAATTCCTTCTGTCCTTAAGTACAGATGATAGATTGGTACCACTGCAGCTGTGATGGGTAGTTTCATGTGTCTTTTAGGCTACAATGCCCCCTTGTTTGGTCAAACAGTAGCCTAGATGTTGTAGTAAAAGAATCATTTAAGGACAGGCGTGGTGCACACGACTTTAATCCCAGCACTCAGGGGTAGAGGCAGGCGTATCTCTGTGAGTTGGGGGCCAGCCTGTTCTACAGAGTGAATTCCAGGACAGCTAGGGCTGTTATAAAGAGAAACCCTGTCTCAGAAAACAAAAACAAAACAAGAAGAGAATCTTTTAGGCATGACTAATATTTGAGTCTGTGACCGTGAGGACAGCAGGTGGCCCTCAGGGTAGGAGGACTTCATCCAATAGGAAAGCAGAGTTTGAAGATAATTGTACTCTGCAATTGTTAGCATTAAAGTTTCATTAGTTCTAAAATACCATATTTTGTCAGGTCTGCCAAATAACATGTTTCCCCACATTTTAGCATGCTCTCTGAATTTGTGGATCTGTTTTAGAATTACTGGAATATCTAACTGACAATATTTTATTCCTATCTTGATTTTACACACAATTTGTATTATTTGCTAAGGGATCATCAGATACTATACTAGTCTATAGCTTAAAAAAATGTTGGGCTAAGGCTTTAAACCCATCTTGTTTATTCTTACTCTGTTAACTACACAGAACTTAGTCACTTTTAAAATTTTAAAATATGGCACCTTGAATGTAGCTTGGTGGTAGAGCATTTGCTTAGTTAGTACATGCAAGCTCCCTTCTCTTCTCTAAAAGTAAATCTCCTTTGTACAGACTAATTAATTTTTTTTAAACTAATAGAGAACAGAAAGTGATGACATCTGAAGATCAGGCCCAAGAACGGAAGAAAGTTCTGAAACTCAAAACAGAAATGGTAAGATATGTGTCTAGTTCTGTAGCCTTTCCTACCTTTGGTGAAGGCATGGATTCTGAAATACTAATTTCTCTTAACTCTTGTAGGCTGATAAAGAAAATATTGGAAACATGATTGAAAAAAACTGCATTCCATTAAAAGCTGATGAAGCAGCCAGTTCAGAAATACACAACTTGAAGGATAATATTCAAGCTGTGCAGTTATTACCAACTAGAGATGATTCCCAAGGTCAGACTATGACACCAGACCAGACATGTCACCTTAAAGATAATAAAAAGATGCAAGCAACTGCAGAAAAGCCCAGACAGGATGCCAGCATACCTAAAAAACGAGTGCTTGGCTATTATCATGGCCAGGTTGTTCAGTCTAAGATTAATTCTTTTAGAAAGCTTCCGAATGTCAAAGGTGAGAGTCCTTCAGCAACCAAGAAACTTCCCCCTGCTGTGTCTAAAGCCACAAAGGCTCAGTCTGCACCTGTAAACTCCGTCAGTATAAGAGCCTCAAGTGTGACCGCAACCACCAAGTTTGTAAGCACTAAGGCTATGAGCACTAAGTCTGAGAACACTACATCCAAGAACACACTTGTACGACCACCTATTAGAAGCCTCCACAGTAGTACCATCAGAAAAGCGCCGCTTGGAAAAGAATTACAGCGGTCAGAACCGGCTGTAACTTTTGTCAATACCCGACTTTCTCAGGACACAAAAAGAGATAAGGCACCATCAAGAAGTATAACATCTGAAGGTGTATCCCGGACTCATTTGTCTAACACCAGACTGATAGAAAAGTCAGAAAATGTGGACCGGCGCAGATGCACAATAGCAGGGACAACTGTTCCTAGATCAGTTCAGCCCAAAGAAACCACAGGAGAGAGAAAGTAAGTAGATAAAACTCACTTTGTCTTCTAAATTTTCAATAGAATTCCACTTGTGAATTTGGCTTATAATTTCCTTGAATGTATTAGAATTTCTTTACTCGATTATTTTCTGCCACATAGGCAGATTTATTTATTTATTTTTGGTTTTTTCAAGACAGGGTTTCTCTGTGTTGTTTTGGAGCCTGTCCTGGAACTCACTCGGTAGACCAGGCTGGCCTCGAACTCACAGAGATCCGCCTGCCTCTGCCTCCCAAGTGCTGAGATTAAAGGCGTGTGCCACCAACGCCCGGCCACATAGGCAGATTTATATATGGAATAATAAGTCTAAAATGTTATGTGTTTAAGTGTAGTTTGCTGGTTCCTTTTGATCTCAGCTGAACGCTAATAACAGTTGAGAAATACTTATAACTTAGCCATTTAAAATGCATTCTCGGTTCTTTATTTTAGAATTTATTTGTTATTATTATTTTTATTCTTCTTTCAAACATTACATCCAACAGCAGTTTCCCCTCCCTCCTCTTCTCCCAATTCCTCTCCCTCTTTCACTCTCCTCCAGACCCACTCCTCTTCGATTTCCCCTCAGAAATGAGCAGGCCTCCCAAGGATGTGTGTGAGAGGGCATTGGGTTCCCTAGATCTGGAGTTACAAGTGATTGCGAACCTCCTGATGTTGGTTGAGGAACCAAACCAGGTCCTCTGCAAGAGCAGTAAGCACTCTTAGTCTCCCAGCCATCTCCCCAGCTCGTTGTGTTCAAGAGTTCACCTTTGCAAACAAATGTATGTCCCTCCAGTTTAGAACTATGTATAAACTTCAAGTTTTCTTCATATTTATCTATCCACCACATGTGTTCCTGGTGCCCACAGAGGCCAGAAGGAGGTGTCAGGTCCCCTTGAACTGGAGTTACACATGGTTGTGAACCACCATGGGTGCTGGGAATTTATGTATTCCAAGGTTCTCTGGTCACGTAGCTGGTGCTGCTGAGCCATGTCTCCAGCCCCAGATTTGAAGTATATTTATCTACTCTATTTAGCAGGACATGATCCTCAAAATCAAAGTAATGTTTATGTACTGCTTCTGCTTGTAGAGCTCCAGTGACTGAGTGGAGAACTGGCAAAGGAAAAGGGCTAAAGAGGCCTCCTAACTTAATAGCGAATCAGTCTGAGCCAAAGGGACAGAAGGCAAGCCCGGTTGGGTCCTTTTGGACTACCATGGCAGAAGAAGATGAACAGAGATTATTTACTGAAAAAGTAAACAAGACAATTTCTGAATGCCTGAACCTGATCAATAAGAAGGTAGAGTTGCTGTTGTTTATAATGCGTATGGCTGTTTTGCCTGTATGTATGTCAGTGTGTGTACCTGATGCTTGCAGAGGCTAGAAGGGGGTGTCAGGCCCCTGGAACCCGAGTTACAGATGGTTGTAAGCCACCATGTGGGTGTTGGGAACTGAACTCAGATCCCCTGGCAGAGCAGCCAGTGCTTTTAACCTCAGAGCCATCTCTCCAGCCTAGGAAGGTAGAGTCTTCATTTTTGTACGTTTTATAATCTAGAAATGTCTTTTAAAGATTTATTTATTATTATTTATGTTTCCGTACTTAAATGAGTTTCTGTGTATCACATGTATGCATGTGCCAGCAGAGGCTAGAAAGTGTTGGATCCCCTGAATGTGGAGTTTATGGTCAGTTGTGAGCCGCCCAACATGAGTGCTAGGAACCAACTCGGGTTCTCTGTGGAGCATCATCAAGGCTCTGACCGCTAAGCTATGAATGTATCCAGCTCCCTCTATCAACTCTTTACATTGCTCACTGTTCTTGATTACAGCCAGGTTACTAGTTGTTCATAATTTGTAGCTTACACATTTTATTTCTTGGTATTTTAGGGATGCCCAAAAGAAGAAATTTTAGACACATTGAATGACCTGATTCATAATATTCCAGATGCCAAAAAACTTGTTAAATATTGGATATGTCTTGTTCGTATTGAACCAGTCACAAGTCCTATTGAAAATATTATCTCAATCTATGAGAAGGCCATTCTGGCGGGGGCTCAGGTAAGATCAGATTTTACTGACCTTCGGTTTTGCAGTGTAAACAATTCACAGTTGTTTTGCAGCACATCCTAGTGTAACTTGATAAGACTGATTTTATGTGTAGTAGTGATGAATATTTAGATGCCACAAAGGACTGGAATAGGTCAGCAGTAGAACATGGAGACTGCAAGGGTTACAGTATGCATGTTTTCCAACCCTCTAAAACTTCATCTGTGTTCCAAGGGTTATGAGACTGTAGAAATAGATATAAGCTGAGATGTAGGTCTGATGAAACTGTTTTAGCACAAGATATCATGTGCGTTTTCTGTGATGGGCCAGAAGGGACAGTACATAAAGTTATGGCACTGGCATAGTGATGCAGAAGTGACAGCCAAGGCTACACATAGACATTGTAGATAGAAAAAGGTGGCACGGGGGAGGGGGGCAGAAATTGGGAAACAAGAATCAAAACTGGCCAAACATTGAAAACAGAGCTGATTGTTTTGGAACTGAATCCCGAAACTAGGACTGTTGTTAAACCATCTTGTATTAGCTTTTAATTTCTATCAGATAATTAAATTTGAATGTGTGAAAGACATTGGATTAACTAATCTTAAGAAATTCAGAAATGCTTATGTGGTGGTGGTACATGCCTTTAATCCCAGCACTCGAAAGGCAGAGGCAAACATATCTCAATGAGTTCCAGGCCTGCCTGGTCTACAGAGTGAGTTCTAGGACAACCAGGACTGTTATACAGAAAAACCCTGTATGGGGCAGGGAGCAGGATGCGAATTTAACAATGTGAGACAAAATACAACTAGGACTTAAAATGTTTTTTAAAAGAGCTTTTAAACAGTATTCCATCTGTTCCATTAATTTTGTTCCTATCAAGCAAGCAGTTGTAGTTATCAAAGGCCTAAAAATTAGGGGATTTTTTTTCTTTCAATGATAAAATTTGTATTTTAAGTGCATTTTCTTATTCTATTAAGTTGAAAAAATAACCATTTTCAATCTTAAATGTTCATTTTAAAATTGTAAAAATTTTCAGTGTCTAATATTTTCTATTTATATATATATATTTACATGTATATTTTTGACCATGTAAACTTCTTTTTTTGTTCAAAACCTTTTTTAATTTAAGCCTATTGAAGAGATGCGACACATAATCATAGATATTCTAACAACAAAGAGTCAAGAAAAAGTTCATTTGGGTAAGTTTTTCTTCGGGTGAATTGTAATTTTGCTAAAATCTACTGATTCAGGTTTCTTTTTATTTTATCTTTTTTTCTTTCCTTTATTTTTGAGATTATAATATATCATTTCCCATTTTTCTTTTCTCCTTCCAATCCCCTCCTGTAAACTCAGGATAGGTGATTCTGTGGGTTTTCTTGTGATGTCCTTGACCCCTTTGGCTTCTACAATCCTTCCCTCTCTTGAGTAAGATTCCCCGAGTCCTGCCTAATGTCTCCCTGTGAGTCCCTGCATCTGTTTCCGTCAGTTGCTGGACAAAACCTCCATAATGACAATCGGGCTAGGCACTAGTCTATGAGTATTGCAGAATATCCTTAGGCATTGACTGTTTTGTTTTGTTTTTCCAGTATCTTAGGTCTCTGGGTCATCCAGCTTGTGAGCCCTGGCACTCCAGGCAGTGTCAGAGGTGAGCTTACTCCCCTGGCATAGGTTTTAGGCTAGACTGGTCATTGGTTGTCCACTCCTTCAATCTCTAAGCCACCTACCCCAGGATATACCTTAGGCAAGACAGACTGTAGGTCAAAAGTGGCTGGGATTGGTGTCTCAATCCCTCCACTGGTCACAGGAGGTGGCTATCTGCTAATGCTCGGAGTCGCAGCCAGTGCCATCCTTGTAGATTGCTTGCAGATTCCCTTGAAGTAGGTTTCTACCTGACTCCTCCTTCCAGTCATCTCTTTCAGTACTCCTCCCTCATTCCCCCACCTATTGCTCATGTTCTCATGCCTGCCTACCCCAGTCTACCCACTAAATCTCTTCTATTTCTGCTTCCTAGGGAGATCTGGGCATTCCCTTCTTGAACCCTCCTTGTTGTTACCCAGTCTCTTGGTCTGTGTATGGTAGCATAGTTATCCTTTACAGCTATTATCCTCTTATGAGTATATACCATGTGTCTTTCTCAGTCTGGGTTTCCTTACTCAGGATGAATTGTTGTTTTTTCCCAGTTCTATTTATTTGCCTGGGAATTTCATGATGTCCTTGTTTTTAGCAGCTGAGTAAATGTTACCATTGCATAAATGTACCACATTTTCTTTATCCATTCCTCTGTTGAGGGGCATCTAGCTTGTTTCCAGGTTCTGGCTATTACGAATAAAGCTGCTGTGAACATAGTTGAGCAAGTGTCCTTGTGGTCAGATGGAGCATCCTTTGGGTGTATGTCCAAAAGTGGTATAGCTGGGTCTCGAGGTAGATCAATTCTTAATTTTTTGAGAAACTGCTGGCATATTGATTTTCAAAGTGACTATATAAGTTTGCATTCCCACCAGCAATGGAGGAGTGTTCCCCTTGCTCCACATCCTCTCCAACATGAGCTCATTCAGACAGGTGTAAGATGGAATCTCAGTCATTTTGATTTGCATTTCCTGTATAATTTGGCTTCTTTGTCAAAATCAGGTGTCCATAGGTGTGTGGATTTACATCTGGGTCTTTGATTCTATCCTATTGATTTACCTGTCTGTTTTTATGCCAGTACCACACAGCTTTTATTACTATAGCTCTATAGTAGAGCTTGAAATCAGAGATCAGAAGTTTTAATATACAGGATTGTTTTAGCTATCCTGTTGGTTTTTAGTTTTTTTGTTTTTGTGTCTTTTTGGGGGGGGTTCCACATGAAGTTGAGTATTGTTGTTTCAAGATCTGTAAAGAATTGCATTGCACTAGGCGTTGGTGGTGCATGCTTTTAATCCCTGCACTCGGGAGGCAGAGGCAGGTGGATCTCTGTGAGTTTAAAGCCAGCCTCGTCTACAGAGCAAGTTCCAGGACAGGCTCCAAAGCTACAGAAAAACCCTTTCTCAAAAACAAAACAAACAAAGAATTGTGTTAGGATTTTAATGGGGATTGCATTGAATCTATAGATTGCTTTCGCTAAGATGATCATTTTTATTATGTTAATCCTACTGATCCATTAGCATGGGAAATGTTTCCATTCTTTGATATCTTCTCCAATTTTTTTCTTTAGAGACTTCAAGTTCTTGTCATATGGATCTTTCACTCGCTTTTTTAGAGTTATCCCAAGATAATTTATATTACTTGTGACTATTGTGAAGAGTGCTCTTTCCCTGATTTCTTTCTCGGCCTATTTATCATTTGTATATTGGAGTACTGCTGACTTAATCTTGTATCCAGCCACTTGGCTAAAAGTGTTTATCAGCTGTAGGAGTTCCCTCATCTACAGAGCAAGTTCCAGGACAGCCAGGGCTGTTACACAAAGAACTCCTGTGTTGCTAATCCATAGGATAGCTGGACTCTGGCGGTGCCATATTGCCCTGGCTGTTGTTGATTATATTCTTACAGTGGAGTTTAGGAATCTGGTTTTGGGATGATTATAGGTCTAGACCCTAATTTCTTTCTTTCTTTCCTTCTTTTTGTTTCTGAGACAGGCTTTCTTTATAGCTTTGGAGGCTACCCTGGAACTTGCTCTGTAGATCAGGCTGTCCTTGAACTCACAGACATCCACCTGCCTCTGCTTCCCAAGTGCAGGGATCAAAGGTTGGCACCACCATTGCCTGGCTAGATCCTGATTCCTGAGTTTGTCTTTGTTGGATGGGTGTTTTGGTCCTTGGTTTGTTTCCTTTTTGGTCTTCTAGTCTTTGTGGATTGGATTTCTAGTGGCCGGCATGACCTCTAATCTGGTAGGGAGTCTCTGTCCAAGTTGGGAGCTGGCCTCCTGGTGGTGAGCTTTGCCTTTGGTGCAGTAGTGGGTCTTTGTTCTTCTGGCTGGTGTGACCTCTTTCTCTGACTGCTGTGGTCTGCACCTGAGGTGCTGAAGTCTGCTCCTCAGATTGGTGTGGTCTGTTCTTCCAAATGGTGTGGGCTCTACCTGAGAAGAAGAAGCCTTCTGGAGTTGGGAGGCTTAACTTGCTTTCTTATTTTATCTAAGACCACCGACCCAGAGGTGACACCATTCCCTCTGGGATGTGCCCAACCACATCAGTCATTAATAAGAAAATGCCCCACAGGCTTGCCCACAGACCAATCTTGGGGGGCATTTTCTCAACTGAGATTCCCTCTTTCTAAATGACTCTAGCCTGTGTCAAATAGATATAAAACTAGCTAGTACATTCCTTTTTATAGGTGCCAACAAGCCTTTGTTCTTACTTCACTTATAATGTTTATCTCATTTAATAGTTAATTGTTCTTCAACTGTGTCTTTTTTTTTAAATTTATTATGTATACAGTGTTCCATCTGCATGTATCCCTACAGACCAGAAGAGGGCACCAGATCTCATTACAGATGGTTGTGAGTCACTGTGTGGTTGCTGGGAATTGAACTCAGGTCCTCTGGAAGAGCAGTCAGTGCTCTTAACCTCTAAATCATCTCTCCAGCCCAGGCACATAATCTTAAGAGCTGAGATGGCTTCATTCTTGAATTTGTATCTGCACAAATGATATTATTTAGTATTTGTTAAAACCCTGGCAGCAGTCTATACTTAGGAAAAGTAATAATTAGGAAATGGAATTTGGTTCCATCACTTTGAAATTTTAAGTTTAAATCTTCAAATTTTTTTATAGGAGAAAATATTGAGGAGGCTCATGCAACCAAGGGACATACCCTGGAAGTCAAAACTGAAGAAACAAGTGTCAGTGTAGAACCAGGAAATCCAGAAGAAGAGCATGAGTATCAGAGGGATGTTAAAGTTTGTGAAGACAACCAAGACAAAGAAACAAAAGATCCAGCCCAAGATTTTCTAACCCCTGATTCAAAAACTGAAGCAGGTTGCCTAATTAGATATAATGTATCTTCTACACCAGGCTTGCAAAGGTAAATTTTAAAATGTAATATGATTTGTTTTCATGGGATAATTTTGTTTAAGAAAATGTTAATGCTAAGAGTCATATCCAGAGCCCTGATCATAATGGCTCGTGTCTGTAATTGCAATACTGGGGAGACTGAGGCAGGCAGGTTGCTGTGGATTGAAGTCCAGCCTAGACTGCCCTATTTCAAACAAAGGAAAACAAGAGTCATTGGGACATTTCACCTTTTGGTTACTGTATTATATTTGCTTTGTTTTTTACTATGTGGTGCCACTTTGCAAAAACTAGACTTGGTTTTCCACCACTGGCTATCTGTACTACCCTCACCTTTCTCCAGGCATTTTTTAAAAGGTTTTATGTATGTGGGTGTTTGGTCTGTATGTGTATTTTTGCACCACGTGGATGTAATGCCTACAGAAGCCAGAAGAGGGTGCTAGATTCCCCTGGGACTGGAGTAGCTTTAGACAGTTGTGAGCTGCCTGCTATGAGAGGCTGGGATTTGACTCTGAGCCCTTCCTCCAAGCATTTTCTTTTCATTCCTTTTATTTTCTTTCTTTCTCTCTTTCTCTCTTTCTTTCTTTCTTTCTTTCTTTCTTTGTTTCCTTCTTTCTTTCTCTCTTTTTTTTCGAGACAGTGTTTCTCTGTATTGTTTTGGAGACTGTCCTGGAACTCGCTGTGTAGACCAGGCTAGCCTTGAACTCACAGAGATCCGTCTGCCTCTGCCTCCTGAGAGCTGTGATTAAAGGCGTAAAGCACTAATGCCCGGCCCCTCCAAGCATTTTCAAAATCAAGACTTTTTTGGTTTGCATTTATCACTGTAGTTGTAGTGCTTGGAACTGAGAAATCAGACTTTTTTTTTTTTTTAATAACAGCTATTCAGGTGTCCACATAATGCAAATTGCTCACTTCTAGGAACTTTCTATAAGACAGTCTGTCACATGGTTGCCACTTAGTATATTATGAGAACAGCAAAAGTGTACGATAAACACTTGAACAGGTTTTTGAATTTGTGAAATAATTTTGTGTTTTTCAGTATGAAAAAGAAGATGCAGCATGGTAATAATTCCGCATTTAAAGAGCTAAAGTTTCTCACACCAGTGAGGCGTTCACGACGCATTCAAGAGAAGACTTTACAACTGCCAGATATGTTAAAAGACCACGACCCCTCTGTGTCCTCACTGGGACAGTTGTCTGAGTTGGGAGAGGATGCTTTTGTTTGCCGCCCTAATGCAGCACTGTGCCCTCTGTTCTCTGAAACTGACACGGTGGGAGAGAAATAGCGCTCCTGAGAAAGGATGGTGTTGTACTATTCCCGTGGTGTTTGTTGTATACAGCTTTGTGTGGGTCTGAAGTTGTCCGTGTACCTATGTACAGTACAGTGAACTTTATTAGCTTGTTTATTGTTTTTAAAATATAATGTTAGCTTCTTCACTTTACTAATTACTTACAGGAATGAAGCATAATTTGAAAGGGTAGTCTATATAAATTTATATTTTACATTGACTTTGTACCTAATATGTTTATAATAAATATAATGTTCCAGTGACATTTTGTTTATTGATTGACTTAGTTAATGATAGAACTGATTTTAGGACCCTATCTACTCTGGGCTACAGCCGGCTGCAGTATGGCATTTATTTCAATAAATGAGTTACTTGCTTGGACTGTGGTCCCGATAGAGCACTCTCCTAACACTGCAAGGCTCTGGATCCACCCCTTAGCACTGCAAGAACAAATACTTTGGCCACAATAACGGGACTTAAACTTTGCCTTTGAAATACATTACTGAGTTTGTATTACTTACCTGTGATAAAATACCTGACGGAAACAAAGGAGAGTTCATTTTGACTGTTTGAGAGCGCAGCCCACCATGCTGAGGCAGGCAAGGTAGAGGAATGGGCCTTCTGCTGTAGAGGACAGAGGGTGCTGCTTACATGGTGTTGGGTAAACCTAGGACACATAGAACCTTTATAGGCTACCTAGTTACCCACTCACTAGTCTTCAAAACAGTGCCTCAGACTGGAGACCAGGCATTCTAAGTGAGCTTACTAGGAATAATTCAGATTCAAGACTTGGTGATGCTTGGGGACTGAGCTTCCTACATGCCAAGCAGGTACCGTACGGATGAGCCCCGTGCTCATCCCCTAATCTCACCGTCTGATGTTTAATCTGTACAGTTAGACTTGTTCTCCAACACAGGCAGTCTGTACCACTCCCACCTTTCCCAGGGCCTTTTTTTAATCGTTTTGAGATTTATTTTTATGTGCATGAGTGTTTTGCCTGCATGAGTACAGTACCTGCATAAGCCAGAAGAGGGTGTGGGATGGACCCCCTGGGACTCGAGTAGCAGATAGTTGGGAGCTGCCATGTGGGAGCTGGGAATTGAATCTGGGTCTGCCCTGCCCTTGGTTGCCAAGGTAGTAGCTCACACATCGAGTCCCAACAGAGGTGGCAGATCTGTGGTTTCCAGGCCAAGTCTGGTCTCCAGAATGAAACCCTGTTCCAAGAAATAGAAAGATGGGGTTGTGAACACTGCTGTCACTTGTGGACAGAGGCCAGAGATACTGACCACAGCCTTGGTGAAGAATTAGAGGTCCCCCATGTCAGCAGTGCTGAAGCTGGGGGACCCTGAGCTAGATTCCTCTGCCCTCTCCTCAGTGTTCTTTAATGACTTGCCAGCCACCCTCACTGAGCCTGATAAAGTGCCTCTTACTCAGCAAGGGACTCGTAGGCCATCATTTCTCTTGACTCTCCCTTCCACTGTCCCTGCTTGTTCTTTGGTTTCATTGACAGTTCTCCGGGTGCTCTCCCCTTGTGACCTTCCAGAGCAGTGTCAGAAACAAAGAGGTTGCTAATCGTGCAATCAATAAAAAAAGAAAGAAAAAGACAATATTCTAGTGGCTACGATTTTGAAGAGTAAAATAAGTAATTTGTATACATGTACCTCATTTAACATATCCAAAATACTGTAGTATGTAATCACTGTAAGAATTCTTAGCAATAGTTTGGCATACTTTGTGTTGTTGCTGCCTTTGAAGTCTTATGTGTATTCATACCAGTTACTTTTTAAAAGTACCCCCACTGGGCCTGCAAGATGGCTTAATGGGTAAATGTGCTTGCCAATTTTGTCAGCTTCACATGGTGTAAGGTGAAAACCAACTCCTGAAAACTGTCCCCTAGCCCCCATGCACGTGCTGGGATACATGCACACAAACACACATGTATATACAAATTAGTAATTTTTAAAAGAACTATAAGTATTCTGCGTACTTCAGAAGCCTGGGCAAGTGGATTACTACAAGTTCAAGACTGCCCTGGGCTATATAGTGAGTTCTAGGACAGCCAGCCTGCACTTCAGAATAAGAACCTTTCATAATTGAAATAGATAAAATGACTGCTTAAGGACTAGGTGCCTACCATTCCTGGAGCCCTGGGTTCTATCCCACAAGCACCACACACACACAAAAAATGGTATGGTGATATTCTTAGCTATTTTGGAGATTGGGGCAGTAAAGTCCTAAGTTTGAGTCCAGTTAAATACACAGCTAAAATAGGCATTGTGTCCAAATGGAAAAGAAAAAAAGTTACACACAGCTACATACAAATGGTACAGATCACAACTTCACTTCCTTCACAGGAATTTCCAACCTAAGACGTGCTATTTCAGTGATCATTACAGCATCACCCTCAACTCAGCGCCTTTCTGTGTGGCTTACCTGCATAGATTTATTTAATCGTGTGTGTGTGTGTGTGTGTGTGTGTGTGTGTGTGTGTGTGTGTGTGTGTGTGTGTTGCTTGCGCATATGAATATGTATTACTGTGTGCCTAGTTCCCACAGAGGTCAGAAGAGGGTCAGGAACTTGAATTAGGGATGGTTGTGAGGCACCATGTGAGTACTGGGAAACAGAGCCCTGGTCCTCTACAAAAGCAGCAAGTGCTCTTGACTGCTGATCTATCTCTCCAGAGTTATTCTGGAAAATCCCACGAGTTTATTGGGCTTCCTTATACAACATAGAGGTTACTTACTAGGTGTGTGGGCACTCCTCCCTGAACCAACCAGCTCTGGAAAGCCTTACCCAGCAGAACTGAAGACTTCCCCATAACCATGTAGATGGAGGCCCTGCTCTGTAGTCTTCTCTGACCTATACATACTCTTAACCCCACCCCAGGCTAAGAACAGAGTTGCCAGGTGGTAGGGAGCAGCTCAATCCTCCAGCACAAGAACCCAGAATCTTGTGCTTTATGTCCCTCTATAGGAGGGGGAGCCATCAGAAACTCATCTGGGATGGTCTCAGGGGACGCTGGCTCTGAGGACAGTCCCTCTAGCCACTGCCTTCTTGGTGAATGAGTTTGTAGGGTGGCTCCTCAGGTGTGTTGGATTGTAATCTAATAAGGCAAAACCACGAGTTACAGGGGTTAAGACATATCTTTTACTGGAAATGGGAGTTCTTGTGAGATTCCTAGGAAATTGCAGGGACAGGAGAAAGACCATACTTGAAGGTTTCTTAGGGTTACAATTACTATGATGAAACACCATGATCAAAGTTAGGGAGGAAAGGGGTTATTTGGCTTTCATATTACTGCTCATCATTGAAGGGAATCAGGGCAGGATCCTGGAGGCAGGAGCTGATGCAGAGGCCATGGAGGGTGCTGCTTACTGACTTGCTCCTCCTGGCTTGCTCTGCCTGCTCTTTTATTGAACCCAACTCCGCCAATCGAGGGATGGTCCCACCCACAGTGGGCTGGATCTTCCCCCATCAATCACTAATTAAGAAAATGCTCTACAGGCATGTATACAGCTGGATTTTATGGAGGTATTCTCTCAATTGAGTTTCTTCAGATAACTCGAACTTGTGTCAAACTGACATAAAACTAGCTAACACAAAGACCATACACATTTAGCCCTTAAAGCAGGATTCATAGCTGTTTTAGCATTATTATACGGAACATCTCTATATAAGAAGGTATTCTATGTTGGCAACCCTGATGCCAAATGTTAATTGTGCTGAAAATTCCTTTTCTTTCCTTTTTTTTTTTTCACATTAGCCCTTGGCTGGCCTGGAACTCACTTTGTGAAGCAGGCTGGCTGACTTGAACTCAGAAGATCCAGATCCACCTGCTTCTCTGCCTCCAGAGAGCTGGGATTAAAGGTGTGTTCACCAAGTCCAGCCTGTACTGGAATTCTTGCCTGTCAGAGGTGACAGCCTCTGAGCAGACTCTCTAGTGAGGGGCTCTTTCCCTTCCCATCTCTTTAGTCTTTCCTTTTTAACCTGCCTCATGTTTGTACAGGGTGTGATTTCCTATTTCCCTGCTGCACATTTGACGGTAGCCTGGTTGGTCATGTCCCCTCTGCCTAACATTTTGGAGGTCTTCCTGTCTGTTGTCTTGTGATTTTAATTTTCTTCCGAAAACAGTAGTTCCATCTGGGATCTGTAGGCAAGGGGAGAAGGGGAGGGTTAGGTCTTGCTGACAGGGTGTTCTGGCTGCAGAGAACCAGACATCCTCCTGATACTGTCATTGATGTCATTGAGAAACTGTGATCAGCCAGTCATGTCCGTGTCTCAGGGAGAAAACTGTCTCGAGACGGTTGTCAAGATAGCCTCCTCTGCCCGAGCAAGCAGTTCCAAAAGGAGGTCATAAACTTCTCAAGACTGTCTTACTCCGCATGTATCCTCCAAAGCTGCACCGATTTCCCCACACACTAGCTCCTCACACACTCCTGTAAGGGCCCTGATGGGCTCCCTCCCCCAGCACAACTTCATCCCCAAGGGAAGGTGGATGCCTCTTGTAGTGCCCTCACCTGGTGAAGGCAGACTTTGGTCTCTCTCCTGCCTTTTGTTCCTTTATTCTGAATCCTTAAATCTAACACTGGCGACATAGCCCTGGCTTGCCTACCCGGGATTGCTGTATAGATCTAGACCCGGATGACCTCCAATCTTGGATCTTACTGCCTTACACTTGTGAGTGCTGGGATTACAGGCAGGTGCCACCAGGTCCCGGTACAACCAGAATCTTAATGACTTTTTACAATGTCAGGGAAGAAATACACAGACTTCAGAGTTTCTTCTTCTATTTTCCACTTTTTCCAAGGTCATACAGTAAATGCCAGAAGTGTTGTCCCTGTGAAATGTCTGTAGGCTGGAGCAATAATTCAAATTACTGGCGGCACCATCTCAAAATGTTAGCTCTATTCTACGGCAAGGTGGCGCAACAGCTTTAAGACTGCTTCTTGAGGGCCTGGCTACTCTGAGAACAGCGCCTCTGGCCAGAACCAAACCCTTTCCTCCACTCTCAACTAGAAACGCTTCTCGCTCCTTCGCCCCGCCCCCCACCCCGCCCCCCACCCCGCCCTCCGCCAACCCTAAAGATGACCTAAACACCGGGTCCCTCCCACCCCAGTCCAGCCCCGCCCCCTACCTCGCCCCTCCGCCAACCCGCGAGATGATCTGCCCGTCCGGTCCCGCCCACCAGGGTCCAGCCCCGTCCAATGCCTGCGCCCTGTGACTAGAGTCGCGCACCGCAGGGAGGCGGGTGAGGAGAGCGGTC